CTTCCGAATCTTCATACTTTCGTTTCAACGGCTCTTCATTGCTTTCAATTTTTAAATCCACAGGTTCCGACTTGATTTTAACTTCTTCTTTAGGCGCAGGATTCTTTATTAACTAAAAATTAAAATTGCTTCATTTTAGAAGAATTATCGAGATGGTTTATAAAACTTTACCAGCTAATAGCTCAGAGTCTATCTCATTTACCGAAAATCTTTCTGCGTCGCTTTGAAAGCGCTTCAAATCAAATTTAATTCCAACAGTTAATTTTTTAAAAATATCATAGGCATCCATCCTTACGAGCCGTCACGTGTTTCACCAATATTTATCGCGGCTCGTCGAAGCAACCATAACCTACAATACATTCAAACGAACGAAGGCGACGTTTGTCACGAATATAAGTAAACAGGTTGTTGGTTCCAAACCCTAGCCATCCAGCATCGGCCATTAAAATTTTATTTGGCTAAATATTAATGGAATGTAATGGCTTTGCAGTCGGCGCGCAACCTCGCACTCCAGCAATCCCCGGCCCGTGAAAGTGCAATAATGAGAATGGGAAATGTAAGGACGATTTATTTACTAGCATTTAGTCAAATGGAAATTAAGTAGTCGTAATTTGTGTTAATTTGGACTACAACAAATTAAGCTGTAAAATAAAGTAAAAAGATAGAAATGCGGTAGAATAGGAAGAGGAAGATTCGTATTTAAAAGTACATTTTCGAGTCTCATTAACCACATCGGATGTTTTGTGGTGGTGGTGGTAAGATTAGCTTTTCTTTTGTCTTTTGGTTAAAAATATAAAGTGGAACGAAGCATTTGAGTAATAAATTTATTATATGCAGAACTGGAATTTATATATTGTATTATCGAAAGTGAGAGAGAGAGAGAGAGAGAGAGAGAGAGAGAGAGAGAGAGTGAGCGAGCGAGAGTAGAGGAAATTAGTGAATTAGTAAATTTCAAATTAGTACAGTTCAAAGACAAATTAGCTGTTAAAGCACCATATAATATTTTTTTAATAAAGAATTTAATTAATATTATTTTGTATATCGCTCGGGCAAAAGAATTGAACTAAATTATTATTAGAATATATACTCGTTACTTAAGTGATATTTTTTCTTTATCGTTTTCCTTTAACATAAGTATAGTGACAAATTATTTGTAAAATAGTTGTACCCACATTATAAATATATTGGTAAGTATTGAAAATTTTCCTATATCCTTGTTAGTACATTACGAGAATTTATGTGCCATGCTGGTGGCATTTTAATACACATTTCACATACTTGTTAAAAACATGATGAGTTTAATCATTTGTAATGTTACGTTTTATATTTAATGTATACACACATATATATGAGGAAAGTGTTTATTTAAGCGTAAATGATATGTCGAAAAAATCTTATAATAAAAAAATATGAAACAGTTTTCTATTTTATTATATATTGCTATAATGATTATAATTAGTGCATATAATTTATATACATAAATTATATATACGAATAAATATACATAAATTGTCTCTTTTTTTTATTTTTTTCTTTTCTTATTGTATAGAGTCTCCACATTTATTCATCACTAGCCAGTCAATTCCAGTGGTAACACTTTTATCAACTTTTGTAATGTTCTTAAATATTACTATATACATATATACATATATACATATATACATATATAATAATATATATATGGTTAATTATTTACAACAATGATGGAGAAAGTAGAAACAATAATTCATTTAAAGAATAAACTTATTTTTTTGAAATCTGAAGATTTAAACGCTTCTCATCGCCATCATTTCCTTATGTGTTTTTGCATCTATTTCGATGCACACTATAACTATTAATTTTTTAAAGATTTTAAAGCGTTTATAACAAAACCAATAGAGTCAAGGAATAGTTAAACTATTTTAGTTAATTAGTTAAATTTATCATTTTAATATATTATTGTACATAAATTATATCGTGTTACATGTTATTTACTCATATTACTAATATTGTTTTAAAATAAATTTTTAATTATATTGAAAATAACTAAGGATATAGATATATTATTTGTTAAATTTAAATAAAACCAATGATAAAATATTATGATTTTGAAATTATAACTATTATTATCGTAAATTTTGAGATATTAAAAAAAAATCGTTTTTGTTAAAAAAGAAAACTATTTAACAATAAATTTATAATCGAATATTAGAATTGGCATTTTCTTTGCAATTAATGATATTATTTTCAATAAAATCGAAAAATCTTTTTTTATTGATACTGAATGAAGGGCTTTTGTACAATTAAATTTGATGAAAAGTCAATCGATGAAAAATATTCTAAATAAGATGTAGTCGAATATTTTGTTGATATAATAATTTATGTAAATGCCATGTAATACTTATGTGATAATGTAAGTATAAATCATTATCTTTAAATAGCATAAAATCATTTGCATTGATTTTAACGAACTTGCGTCATCAATTTCAATAGGAGAACTATTTTAAATTATTACATATAGGTATTATTATTAGATATTTAGAAAATAATAATACAAGTTGTAATAAAATAACAATCAAATGAATTCAAATTATTATTTTAATATTAAAAGAGCCTTGTTTTTTTTTTTTTTTTTATAACCAATAACAAATAATTTGATGCATTTTTTTATCTCATTATATAAAAAAGTATTTTCACAGTTAAGATTATGTAATACAATATATATTAACGATATTTAAAAAAATTTCGTAATCTCATTAATACATTCTTTAGTATATCAATTTTTTTAACGCATTAGATGATGAGCCATTTTACTTTAAAGGGCTTGGAAATTATAAAATTTTAAATAATTTTTCTATTATCTAGTTGTTGAATGGCCAGTATAATGAAAGTAATTGATAAGAATCAATTTGTATAAGTGTAATTTAATGTCAGGAAAAAATTGGTAGATTTTGTTTAATCTCTTGTTATCCAGTTCAATCGTCCTCATAAAAGGATATTGTCATTTATGAGCATGATAAAGTAAATTGATTAAAGTATCATAAAATCTTCTTCAATTGTTAGAGAAACGAATTATTAAAAAATAAATCAGAATAAAAAGTCGTATTAATTTTAAGTTATTTTTTTTAAATGTTAAGTTTTTATAAACATTTTATAATTTTCAAACAAAGTTGCTCATTATTCGACAACTAATTATTTTCTAGAATAAAATTATAAAACAAAAAAAAAAAAAACTTTATAAAATATATACCTCAACTACACAATGCATCCTAACTGCAAAAATATTTTTTTTATAACATTCTTCATATTAATGAAAAGATATGTGAAAACTCTCTTATATAACTATATTGCAATTGTTTTGAACTTTCCAATTGAAATTAATTTAATCATACAGACAAAATATTTCACGAACGTTTAAAACTTGAAACTATCACCAAGTTGTTTAGCCCTAAATAAATTTAACTGCGTTAATATTAAGTGACAGTTGAATTTTACACTCGCAAAAAGTAAACCTGAATAAATTGTAACTTGTATTTTATATGTAAATATGTATGTACCAACAATTATACACAACATCGTTTATTTTAATTGTATTATAATATAAAATTTAACGAAATAAAGTTTTTTAATCTTTTATTTAATTTTTAAAAATATATCCGTTAATTTTCTTATAAATCATTCTTAAGAGTATTAACTTATTGCATGTTGCATTATATATTATTAATTGAAAATAATTAATATTGCAACGGTAGATAAACTTTGTTTCATATTCATTTTTTATTTATTCTGGTTATTTATTTAGTAATGCAAATGCATCACCGATAAGAATATCATTGTTTGGAAAAAAGCAATTTCGTTTCACATATTTTCCCTCGTTTATTATTATCTAAATTCACATAACTAACAATTATGTATAAATCATTAGATTTGTTTTATATGGGGAATTTCCGTTAAATGTTTATGCATAAAAGAATGATATATATATATATATATATAATAGAGAGAGAGAGAGAGAGAGAGAGAGAGAGAGAGAGAGAGAGAGAGAGAGAGAGAGAGAGAGAGAGAGAGAGATTGAATGATATAAGGAAGGATATCAGGATTCACGTTTCTTTTTGATTTTTCAAAATTCAACAATTATTCAGTTCTTTGGTATTTATCGAGTTTTCCTAACAAAATTTTTTATCCACAATAAAAATAAAGCATTGGTAATATTGATATTACATTAGTAGATTTATTTAAATTAGATTAATTTTTTTTTTAATATTCGAAATTGTCTTATTTGATTTGAAGTAATTTATTTATTTAAAAATTATTATTTATATAAATTAATATTTTGTTATCATTATAGGATAAGTGATAACATTAAAAATATCTGTTTACGAAAGTATTTATAGGGAACAAAATGCGATTGATTACCGATGCTGATTTTTGTATTCATTATTCAATATTTAGTGTCATGCATGAACAATTAAAATGCTATTTATTTACTAAATGTTGTAACGGTATAATATTTGTATTAATGTACAGAAAGTAAATAAATATTTGAATTTAAAAAATTTTTAAAAAATTTTCATTCCCTGTAAAGTATCGTACACGTATAAATGTGAATAATATACTTACTAATTATCTATTTATAATATAAAAATTCAAAAATTTTTCTAACGACTTTAATGCATTTCATTTTTTCAAAAAGCGTCAAAGCGTTAATAATGGAAAATGTAATATTAGTCCTTTCTCTCTGACATATATATATATATATATGTATTACAATTGAATTGGCATATGTAATATGATAATTTGATTTTAATAATAAAAAACAACATATGTAATACAGGAAACAGCAGATATGATGAAATATATATTCAGTTGGCATTAGAAATGTTTTAATATATAGTCTTGAAATAATTAAGCATATTCCTTTCTTTGTCAAAATTAATTAGTGATCTTATATATATATATATATATATATAAGATGCAAGATATAATTTTACCAAGAATTTTATTTTCATTAGTTTTCGTTGACATTTCGTTGACAACATAAACAATTCTAACATAACTTGATATACATTAAAAAAAATTACAATATTATTTAAACTATTATTATTTTTTTAATTCTGTTACGAAGTAGTTAAAAACTCATTCATTAAAGTAATATTATATGTTTTTACAAAAAAAAAATTTATATAATTTTGTAATTTTTCTGAAGTTTTAACCAACATTTGACAAAATTCTTTCAACTATAATGCAATACATTAATATTTTTTTATTTTTATTGATAATAACAGTATAACGTTGTAAATAAAAAATAAAAATTATCATAATTATGAAATCCGTTGATTTCAAGAAATAAATAGTGAGCAACAACATTATTTGTATAAATAAAAAAAAATGTATTATTTTGAATTTTTTCCTTTATTAACAATTAAAGTGTACTCTCATGTTTCTATTATTACTTCAATGCTTCCACTAAAATATTTTTCAATTAAGAATGTAAAATGTTTAAAGTTTTCTTTTTTGCTTTACATTCGGATTAGATAAGTAGATTTAACATAATTTAGATAGTTCGATTACAAATAATACTGAATAACAAATATTATATTGTAATATACTTTTATAATTTTTATTCATAATTAATGTACATTGCAAGTATAATATCTATTACGTAAAAGGCATTGGTGTTCGTATTAACAATCCAACTCTACCAAGAACATTTTCTAATATGAGCATTCGGATATTCATCTTTAGCACTCGATAGCGTCCAAATTCTCATACGCGAACAAAAAAATAATGTATAGATGATTTCAATAATATAATTAGTTTGCATATACGTGTATACAATTATTCAACGCGTGCATGAGTAATATGAATGTTTATGGGACTAAGTCGTGCGTTTAAATAAGTTCAATTATGCGTTGCTTGAATACCATTAGTAAAATTAGTGCTTTTATATCCGTTCCGCGTATGCGATTTTATATTTTATATTTTATATACTATGCAGGTAAAATGATTTATTCAAGATTTACGTTTGGAAATTGGCAGACCAATTACTTTATTGTATGTAACAAAATATTTATGGTCAAATTTGTAAAAAATTTTATATAACAATAGTAATAACTTATCCTAATAATAGGAATAATGGATGTTTATGTAACACACAACTTTCATTCTCACAATACACAATATCCAATACTACATTGTCCACGATATCTTTGGCTGTTTTATGATATTATTTGAATTGTACTGAAAAATTAAAACACGATTGTGAAAACGGGGCGAGGCAGGTCGGTTTATTCACGATCTTTTAGATGAGTAATCCGTGGATGGACTAGCAATGCTCCAACTGCCAGTCTGCCTTGCCGGCGCATCTTTAGGCTATTTCGTTTCTAATATAATAAAGCTTGTGAAATATGAAAAAAAAAAGTTGCTCGGCGTCTGCTCTTCAAGGACGCTCATATGTTGGCTCGATCAGTACCAGCGTATAGCATTTCAGCAACGTTAAAGGATTCGTAGCTAACGTAGCGTATTGCCGAGCTCGCGTCAAACGCTCTTTTCGAGAGTCCTTTTATCCTCTCTCCTTTCGTTTCTCCACAAGACAATAGAGAATGGCAAAGAAAAAAACCCCCACGATACTCGAGAAGAGCTTAATTTTCAGCTCCGCAGGACATATTGAATTTAGGCGCCCCTCCTCGAGTCGATGCTTTTTAACTTTCGAACCGTCCTCCGTCGTCCTTGAACACGAGCTTCGACTGCAGTGGCGTTGATTCTCGTGGTCAGGGCGATTGCTTTCGGCTTTGAAAAAATAAGTATTCCCATTATAAATAGCAAATTATATTAAAATCAATAGTATGTCCACCAGCACGGACATTTAGTGTCATAATTATCAACACAGGTACGTAGCTACGCGTGCACATACGTGTTGTTGATGCAAGCAACGCACACGCGCAAGTACATACGCATTACTTCCTTACTCGTTTTGTTCTGTAATGAGAAATTGAAAATTGTTTGCTCTGTTATTCTTGCATTTACGTATTCGAAAAGTACATGATATTCCTTAATTAAGTTCATAATTGTTCTTCAACTAAGAATTCAACATAAAAAAAAATTGTTTATTTCAGTATATGGTTAAGAAATGAGATTTTTTAATTTATTACCTTACTAAAGAATAAAAATATTTATTGATTATAAAATGCAAAAGATTTTTAATATGATTGCTTAATTTTTTAGCCAATTGCATAATTTTAATGATATTAACTTATTTCAAATTTGACTTACGTTACCATTATAAAAATGAAACTGTATTTTATATTTCTAGGCTTTGTTTTATAGCATAGTCGATTCAATGTATCATTTTAACATAAATATAACATAATAGCATGAATAATACAAATGAACTAATTATGTATTAATTATTAAATGTTTCAAATGTTTAAATTAGCTATGCCATATAATATTAAATAACTTTTAGATTCATTATTTTGATAATTTACAAAAGTTATAATCGAGCCGAACAATAAATTTCAGTCAATTGTTAATCAATATCATTTATGTTAAAAATCCGTCATTGGCCCTTAAACAACGTAATTTGAATTTCTCAAACAATGCAATAAAGCATTATTATGCTTTAACTGCAAATCGAATTTATTATTTTTGCCAACCTTTTGAAATTCATTGTTCATGGCAGACGTTTGAAAACGCATCTTAAATTTTTGTACTTCTATGGACCGTAAATGTGTTTACTTCTTTACAAACGAATTTCAAATAAACTTTCATTTAAAATTTAAAGTGACTTCATTATACTTCGTGCTTGTTATGAATGATTTTTTTTTTAATGCAAAATTTGTTAACAATTTGATGTAAAACGAATGTATTTTTTAAAATGAACAATGATTGTAACCTTTACAAAAATGCCAAAAGTGTCCAGTCAATGTTGTTAAATGAAAGCAATTTTATTTAATTAAATGTATGAGGCTAATTAGGTCTGTATATTTTATAAACGTAGAGAATTATTTTACTTTGTAAATTATTTTTTCTAATGCAAATGAACTTGTTAATTATTAACTAAATCATTATAAATTAGTCGAATTTAATTTATTTCTTAATTTAATAATATTATGTCTTAATATATTAATGCTGAATAATTTGTTATATTTTTACTATTCAGAAATAATCATGGAGTACAATATACCAATATCGATTAACAAATTAGATAGATTTCCAATTCTTCCACCACTTGTATGTATTATTTTTATAATTTCAAAAACAATACAAATTATTTGATTCCTTTTGTATTTATATTTCACAGATAACAAATGATATTGTAACGGAAATACAATATTACAAGAAGCTAGCTATAGCTGTCGAGGAAAGATTAAGAACTCTGGAAATTGTTAAAGATACTTGTGTAACAATGAATAAAGAAGAATCAAATAAAAACATCATTCCAGTTTTAATAGAAAATAATAATGTCACATCGGATTATTCTTTTAAACCTAAAGATGATAAGGTGAAACAGGATGCGACTTCCATTGAACTAATAATGGATTATCCAACAAAAGACGAGGAGGTTGAGGAAAATTTAATTGACATTAGTACTCCTATAAATGAAAATGTTCCAAACAATAGTTTAATTGATAAAGATGACGGTATTTGCGAACCAAAGCAAAAGAATCCTGAACATATAGACAAATCCATATCGGATGACGACAGGAGTTGCTTTAACGAAACTCTACAGTGCAACAGTATTAGTTCCGATACAGTCACAGTTAGCACTGATTTAAATCAATATTTCAATACATCGCCATCGATAAAAACAGATACGACAGACACTACACCAGAAAATTGGAAACCGCAAGTGCCTAAAACATTAGATATTGTTCCAATCACAGTAAATAAAATGAAATGTCCAAATAAATTAAATACAAATAATGGAGAATCCCAGAAACTAGTGCGTCGCGGATCTTATGTATTAGATGCACCGAGTCCAATGCTTTTAGCACATATGCACAATGAAACTGTAAATACAGAGGTAAAATCGCCATCTTCCGTTCAGTCAATTAGGTGCAAAGAATGGAATTCCAATCATACAAAAACAAATTGGGAAAGTCCAAATAAATTTAAAGAACCAACAATGTTCCGCTTAAATTCTGCTACTAAAGTTAGAAAAGGTAGTCATACAAGCATTCCTAGTCAAAGAGTTTGTAGATCGGTATCAAGCTCCAAAACTTGCTCACCCCTAGATGTTTGTCAGCCCACAAAATCAGTCGATTGTATTCAAGCAATGTTCACGAAAGAATTTTGTTCTTCCAAGACTGTAAGTAACAAAGTCGCCAATCAAAGTAAAATATACTCATCGCCTGTTAATGGAACAAATGGTGTTCGCAATCATGGTTTAAAGAAAACTGTTAAAAACACATCGATATTAAATTTAGCAAATAGACTTAGCGGATCATTAGGAAGTTTAAGTAACGTTAGTCCAAAACCGTATAAGCGAGTGGAGAGAAAACATAGTAATGATTCAAATTTGGATAAAAGTCTCACTCCCGATTCCCTAAAAAGTAATGATCATACGAAGAAGCGAAAGCCAGTTATAACGTCGGAGAAAATTGTAACAGCTTTTCGAGAAATTCAGGATACCCATAAAAGAGAAATGATTGAGTTAGTGACGCGACAGCAAGAGGAGCAAGCCAAAATGCAAGACGATTTTAAGAAACAACAGATTACTTTATTAGCACAAATTAGAAAAGTTTTTCCTGAAATTCCAATTTCAGTGCTTAAAGAAGCAATAAATGGTAATAAGAGTGCAGAGTCCAAAGAAGCGTTAAATTCAAAAACGGTAAATACAAAATCAGAGTCTGTTCAAACGCAAAAGGTCATTAAAAAAAAGCCCCAAGTTAATGGAATTAGTTACATTGAGAGAAAAGATGAACGCATTATTACTAAATTGTCCACCAATTGTACTCAACAGTCCAAGGAATTGTTATCTACCTCGTGTCAGTTATCTCTTCAAGCAACAAATTCTACCGTATCGCCATGTTATCAATATAACTGTCAATCTATTGAAACATTGAATGACGCATCCATATTGAATAGTCGTATTCAATTGTCAAACTTTACAACCATAGATGATATCCCAGTGGGAAATCCAATTCGTAGACATTCTAACGTTAGTCGTCAACTGTTTCCACTTGATGGTAGAGCAGTACGTGCACCAATATTAGATAACACAGTTTACGTAGATAAACACGTAAGAAATTTTGATATGTCATTGTACTTAGTCTTTAAGAAAAATTTCTATCGAGTTTATTTACATTTAGATAAAAGCAGCAACGATAATAAATGCATATGCAAAAGGCTTTTTAGTTAGAAGATTAATGAAGACGGAAAAGATTATTGCTCTGAAAAACACTTATAAAGAAGCGTTACATTGCATGTTACGACTACATGTGGATGAGCCACTTCAGGTGCCTGAAGTAAGATTCAAAAAAAGGCTTCAGCAACAGGTATAATTTATAAATATTTTCATGTATCGGTAATATTTTATACACGTGAACTTATTTTTTATTCATTAGTGCGATGCAGCATCAATGAATATTGTAGATTTATTTTCACAAGATCCTGCTTTACAAATGGAAATAATAGCTCACGATCGAGGGATTAAAACAGCTCGCTCTGATAGACCAAGTTCTGCTCGCTCATACTCTTTTGCAACTCAGCGCACACTTGCTAGAAAAAAACTCAAAGAGTATGAATCTGATTAATATTTTACTATAAGATTAGTATAGTCAACATTGAAATTAAAAAAATATTTAGTTTTATAAATAAATAGTTTTCAAAAAAATGAAATGAATTATTAATTTAAATTAATATATAAGTTTTATGTGATAATTGTTGTGAATAGAGCTACGCCAAGTATGTTATGATTTGATTATATAATAATTAATATCTGCGTAATTATACATTATAAGTACTTGAAAAATGTTTTAATATTTTGGTTTGCTTAATGCAATTTATAGAATGGGTATTTATCCAAGCTCACAAAGTTCAATGATGTCTAAATCTTGTCCGGTTAGATCAAGATGTCAAACATGGACTTCGAATTCAAAGGAAAGAAAAACTACAATTAGTTTAATAAGTACGTATGATTTAATTTAAAATCATTTATATCGTTATACAAAATTTTGATATTTGTCAATGTAATGTTTGCTCTTCTTTTACCACAATCAGTCTGGCAAATAATATATATATATATATATATTAATTATGAAATAATAAAGTACGACAATTCATTTTTATAATATGCATCTTTCTCTATGTGTATTGTAAGAATTGTACAAAGTTATGTAAATATCTGACAAATAAAAATATTTATATAATTGATATGTTAATAAATGTAACGTGAAAATTCGCGTAAAGAAATTTTGACTAATTATAAACATAATTTTTCTAGATCAAGGGATTAAAAGAAGTACTAGTGCTGGTGCTGTACGTAAACCGTGGCGATAAGCAAATTCTTAAAAAGATATTTAAATTATTGCACATTAATTATGAGTAAGAGAAAGATATTGCACTTAATAACAATATAAAGCCGTCCTAGTGCCTCACAGTATCTTTTAACAAAATATAAATTAATTTTTTAATTTAAAATATTTTAAACAATACTTATTCCAAAGTGCATTATTTGCATGTTTTCTGTGATATATTAGATTATGGGAATTAATTTTATTTATTTTTTTTTTTTTATTATTTATATTTAACTCACTGTATATAAGAATATAATCCTCGTTTTTACAAAACAATGTTTTTGAAGCAGACACTGTCCAGTAGATATAGTACAACTTACAAATAAAGTTGCTACTGTTGCTTAATAAAGTTAAATCTTTGCTGCTCATCTATTCATTTAAGTATTTATTATTAGCGCAATTAAATATATTTGTAATAAGATATAGATTTAATTTATAAATATTTAAAAACTGTAAAATAAATGTTTTTAAGAAATACCAATTTTACAGTCACCTGTTTTACCATAATTTTTCGATGATTATTATTTTTCATTAAGGAGACAAATAAGTCGAAAACTTTCGTTTTTCATCGTATTAGAGAAGAAAGTTGTGCAAATCAATGACTGGCGCAATTTTACTCAATCATATAAGTTTAGACGATTAGTATGCGAGTAGTATATTGCAATTTAGTCCAGTGTCATTGATTCTGCCATTGTGTAAAACAATTAAAAGCATATTAATTATATATTATCTATGTAAATTATGATAATTTTCAATTATAATTTTCATGTTTTTATTATTAAATACGCTGCGATTAACTCAAATCCATTGAAAAGTATGTTGGCAGGAAAATATTAGTTTTCATGTTGGAGGCCTTTCAAAGTCAGAATATTGATTCTATTGATCAATAGAATTCTATTTCTATTGAATTCTAATGATAGAAGTGCTAATGATGACTGATGAAATTTGATCGCGATGCCTATAACTTTGAAAAAGAAAGGTGATGATTTATATTTATATCTATTAAAATTTGTTAAACCCACGTCTAAGATCACTGAGTATCAGAAATTTATCTTGGATAAAAATTATATATTTAAAAATAGGATCATCGATTTATATTTAAAGTACTATTTCTTCATTATACTCACGTTTCAATTGATTTTTTATTTAATGAATTAGAACCAGTAACGGTACGACAAATTCATCGGTAGCGAATATTCTTTTGGTGCAGCAGTGTTTTAGTTTATGTTACCGAAAGCAATTGCAACCGATATAATTTAACGTCAATAATACTTTTTTTTTCTATCATTAAAAATTATAGCCTATATTTTTTATACAAATGTGATAATACTTATTACGGATTTTGTTTCGCTTTGATTTTTATATGTTTATTGTCATAGGATCACATATAAAACATATAAATGTCAACATTCGTTGGTAAAGGTTCGTATGGGATAATAAAATAAATACAGACGTATTTTTAAATATATTTGTTAATAAATTTTAACAAATTGTATATTTATTACAATAAAAATTACGGATATATATATATATATATATATATATATGTTTATATATTATAATATATTTAAAATATTATAGTACAATTTATAATAAATTATGTAATAATATAATTTACAAAATTTGTTTGATTAATTTTGAATAAAACTTGAAAGCTTTATAAGTTGAATATAAATAGTTATGAATAATATATATATATATATATATATATAATCCAAATATTATAGATTTGGCCGATATTTTATTATGATTTTATAATGTTTATGATGATGATGATGATGGTTGCTGAGATCTCGTATCTCAGGTTTACAAAGCGGATGAGTAACACTAGTCCAAGGGAATTTCGTTACTTCCTCCTTTCTTCCTTTGATTTTTTTTCATTTTTAATTTCTCACGCTAACGAAAATCTCCTTATCGATATGATTTTCATTAAAATACCACTTCATTTAGCTCCTTTTTTATTACGGCATAAGAAATTAATAAATATTTAAGAATGGTTATAAAAATTATATTTTTATTTTAGAAATAATAATTATTACTACTTATTTTCATATAATTAAGATAGAGGAAGTAGGATTTCATGTTGAATAAATTATGTCAAATTTATTAGATTAAATGGTGATTTATATATATATATATATATATATAATTCGATAAATTTTTACATTAATATCAGTTAATAAATTTATAATAAAAATGTATTATGAACATTATAGTCATAAATAAAATATGACAATAAATCACAAATGCTTGTAATTATTAGAATTTCTTTGATTAATTCGAGAAAGAAAATCGTTAAAAATGTTTTTTAATTGATTTACATAAACTTTCTAATAACATTTCTATCTCTTAATCTCACTACTATTTGCAATTGGTGCTAGGATTTATATTATAAAATTGGTGCGTTTTTATTAGTTGGTAAAAATGATATTTATCCATTATAACAATTACCTTTACCGAATGACTGAGATTATTTTTGATATGAAATAATTATAAATATTATTGTAGAAGAAAATAACAAGAATCAGTCTTAAAATAACAATTGACGGTCAATAATTTAAATATAACTACAGTTAAATTTAGAATCTTTTAAACTGCGTATGCCTTGAATACTACTTACAAGCACATAATTACTGCTTCTAATCAACTTTCTCGTTGTCATAGAAGACCAAGAGGCAAAATTTATCAAAGACAATTTACGGGCTACAAGTGCACGTTGAATTAATTTCATTGAAAAACTCGCTAAAGAGCAAATATGCAAATCAGCACTGAAGATGTAAAAGACTTACCTTTGTAATTTATACTTAAATCAATTACATATGAATTTATTGTATCGGTAATGTATATATATTTATATAGCGAATCCGTAATTTATTATTCAAGCTTCTTTTGAAAAAGAACTAATCACGTTAGTTCATCGTAATATATAAAATATAAAATTTTTGTATAGTTTTAAAATGGATAAATAATGGCATAAATGCGGCAACGTCAGTTTTATTGATAAAAATTCGGCTCAATATAAATAAAATTTTTTTTATTTGGAAAGTTGCCTATCGCCTGAAAATCGTTAAATCCTTAAGTTAATTTTATTAAAAGTTTTCATGATAAATTTGATTACATGATAATAATAATAAAATTCATTATTATCGCTAATTAAAATTTTCATAATAATGTAGCAAGATTGTTTATTTATTTAAAATTTTCAATAATAACCTACATTATAATTATAAACATTTGCATTTCACGAGCTAAACGAAATTAAATATTTAAATTATGCTGCTAAATTTATGAAAATTCTATTAGATACGAGATGAGTTATGACATTTGTTTATTTGAATTAAACTTTTCAAATTTATTCGAGAATAGTAATTAGTTAATAAATTTATTCGCTTACATTTATGAATTATAAAATGTATTTATATTTTTATATTTAATAACACACGCATAATTTTTAGTGTTCGATTCTTTGTAAATTTAATGTCAAAAGTGTTAATTTGTCGATGAAATTACCAAACACTCATTATTTGCTATTTTATAATAATTTTTAATGATCAATATTTGTGTTAAGGTTTTTTATTTATTTATTTTTTTTTTTTCACAATTTTCCTTTTTTTTTTTTTTTACACTTTTACTTTTATAAATTATCATCAACCATATCTTAGAAAATACTTTTAATAGTTTAATAATTTAATTCATAAGCTTAATAGATGGTAAAAATCTTTTATAATTGAAATAATTTTCGTCTTTCGTATGAAATATATGATTTAAGATATTAATGTAGATCAAGCTGTAGCCTAGGAAAAATGATAAATTTAATAGACTAAAATTAATTAACGTCGTTAAAATAAAATAAAGATGTATGCAGAATTTAATTCATATAAGTAAAAGGAAGTGCTAAATTGTGTAGGTAATTTATATTTAGTTATCATTACCAAAGACATTTCAAGTTAAAATGTTATGTTTCATGTTTAATAATAAAACGAAAGAATTAAATGCACACACAAAAATAATATTCCTACCATTGTTGTAATAATATTTGATTATATGGTATTAATATGTTTATGTTTATATTTGGTCAGTGAAGCTTTTAAAATGGAGAAATTGATGATTTTGAGAATAAAGGAAATGATAGGAGAAACAAGAACAGAAGAATAATCCAGATAACAATTAATATACAAGGTGCAAAAGACAAAAGATAATATTATCGGTGAGTTTAACGCAAGTTATTAGTAAGCTTATGTATAGATAAAAATTAACGTTTCCACTGTCAACTTACTATCTACCTAGCAAGCAATTATTTTCTTAATTAAAGTTATGAATTAAACCTTATTTCTCTATTTGCTGTAAAGAGCATTGACAAATAGGTGGTGGGCGAGATGAAATTACAAACAATGTTTAAAAGATACTCGATCCTTGCAAGAGATATTAATTCAATATCGTAGCGAATTTTAACGCGTCCTCGCGTTATCGAGATGACGCCGAATGTGCGAAAGCCTATTTGCAAATGTAAAACCGTAATAGAATTCAGCGTCGGCTTAAATAAACGTGCGCCACACGACGATATGGGCGGGATGGGTAGGTATTGGTGGGGTGGGGGGGGGAGCAGCGGCGGCGACGGTAGAGTAAGAAGCAAGTGGCCACAAAGCACCGATGAGAAAAAAAAAAAAGATAATTTCAAGAGTTTACAACAAAGCTATTTAAAAAAAAAAGAACAAAAAAAAACAAAAAAAAAAAACAAAAAAAAAACAAAAAAAAAAGGCCTAGTTCGCAGTATCGGGGCTGGGGTGGGCACGGGTAAGCGAAAATCGAGGCAAGAAAGTCGGCCACGCGTATCCCGGAGCTCGCTCGTATTTTTATTTGGCCATAAAGGCCCGTCGGAGAGCTCGTCAGGGTGTTGTTGCCGTCGCTCCAAGCCCTTCGCAAGTAGGACGTGTTAATGCACGAAATGAGCCAGTGGTGGTGGGCGCACGGCGTATAAAAATAGTCGGGCCGACGGAGGAGCCTCACCAGCCAGACGCTATTTAACCAATGGAAATAATAGCTCGTGGTCGCGCGACGAACGTTGGAGCGCTACTCAGGCAATGGCGAGGTCGCCGCGATCGCCCCTTCAACCGGAATCCACGGAGACGGAAGCCCGTAGTCCGTCGGCTCTATTTTCGCGAACGCCTTTTCGACAACAATAATAAAATAACAATAATGACGACGACGACGACGACGATGCCCCGGGCGGCGCGGGCATCCTGGCAGCCGGCCAACGCTACCCGTAACCCCAGTCGGAAGTTGAAGGGGCCGGGCGCGCTCTCTTATCTGCCCATTGAGGTTGCTTATCCACGATCGCGTCCTCCTCCAACGCCGTTCCATTCCAATAATCCGGCACCGCGAGAGAACTCCCG